CCCCAAAACCCCAAAACCCCAAAACCCCTTTACTCTAATTTTAAGGTAATCTTCATATTTCAAATTTATTTAGAAATAAAAAATCAATTGTAGTATAAATATTATTGTTAATAAGTCATAAATAATGGCAACTGACGACAAAAGAGAAACTATGAGGACATAAGTCTTCCAGGAATCTTTTAATTTAGCTTAAAAGTAACGCCACGGTATGTTCTCAGTACCTATTTCTAATGCTATTGGTGATGATACCTATTTCATTCCCAAGCCTGCACGTAGAGATGCCGAGGGTGCTGTTATTACAGACCCAAGAAACTTCACAACGAAGAATGCAAAGAAGGGTTCAATTGACAGCGTTTTATTCTCCAAACCAAGTTATGTCACTTAGGGAGATCCATTCAAAGAACCTGCTAAAGTGCCAATGAGGACTTCAGTTAAAGAGGGTTTCAAGCTTGGAGGTCACGAATTAAACTTTAAGCCTGCCAAAACTGTTCCAAAAGCTGTGAAAGCTGATTTCAAGCACATGACTGATTTCGTTGAGGTATCCAAGAATAGAAAAGGCCCAGATGGTGCAGTTGTTATTGAGCCTAAAAACTTCCTTACAAACCCACCAAAGAAGGGTATAGTAGGTAAAGGAACTACTCTAGGTGGTAAAATTGATTACCTACCAGATCCATTCGACAGAAAGAGAGAACTTGAGAGAAAAGAGCATGAAGACCATTTGAAGAAAGTCCAAGACAAGCCATTCTCACAAAAGGTAAAGCACGTTGAAACATTCGCTACTATTAGAGAAGCTTACGGAGAAGATCGTAATTATCCAAACAGAAAGCCAGTACCTGATTCCCCACCTCTTATGACACACGATATGCCTTTCAAGCCATCTAACCCACCTAAGAGGGGTTATAATAAAACTTTGGAAAAGTTCCCCGCATACAAGGAAGATCCTCTCAAGTTTGCTGAAAGGAAGAAGGAAGAGGATGATGGTAAGGGCAGATGGAAACCAACCCACAACAAAAAGTCTACTCCAACTCCATCAGTCACAACTAACTTCAAAAATCTTAAGACCGAGTTTCCCTCTGTTTTCAGGAGATTATGATCCTCGTTTTTAATATTGCTATTGCTATTGCTCTAAACTAAACTTTTATAATAAGATTAAACTTCAATAATTATTATACTATAAAATGAAAGCAAATTTCTCAAGTCTAATATTGATTTTATTGCTAGCGATTCAGGCATAATCATATATCATCAAGGGAGTCATTGATAGTAAAATTTATTTGATTATTCATTCATTCTTAAAGATAAGGGGCTAAGGTAATTGGATTATTCAAGCACCAAAGTTATTTTAAATGGTGGAGAGTACACTGGTTTTGTAAATAACATGGGTGCTTTTAATATGTATGGAAATATTGCCTAATCTTTTGATAATTTAAATAGATATGTTGAAAAGGTTGGCACATACAAGTTAGATGTTATAAATCTTTAGTACCACTTTGATCCAGTAAATTAAAAAAAAATTCATTCGAATAGGTGATAGTTGAGATACTAGATGTTGATCAGAATGATGAGGCAGCAAAAAAAAGATAAATTAGAGCATATCTCTATAATTTGAAATCAGGCAAAGATTTTAAACTAATTTATCCCTTACAGCTTGAGCCATCACATAAGATACAATACTTTGAGGTAAGTAATTAAGCATTTTTTACCACAGATAATTTTAGATTGAGGAAGGTTTTAACCCAATGAACTATCTTAAGAATCCAATGGTTATCATGGTTGGAGTCTCTGGCTTACTTATGTTTATGATGAAGAGAATGCCAAAGCAAGAGTTAGAAGAAATGCAAAGTATGCAATCGCAGTAGATGCCATAATGTGCTCAGCAATGAATAAAGAAATTCTTAATTAAGCTTTAGCAAATTAATAAACTTCGAAACATACAAAATTATTGACATTAAATTAGAATATGAGTTAACTTATTATTAAATCTGATTGTAGGGGAGAGTTTATAATAACTTAATAATTCTAATAACTTTTACACTAGCCATAAATTCTACATTGGTGTAGGTCAATCTTTGTATGTAGATTAGTCATAGGCTTCCAATTTTGAGTTCTCATCCTCATACTAGCCTCGATAATCGATGCTTTCGTTTCTCATTAATTACTATAGCTTGCTTTCTAGCAACTACTGCTGCATTTCTTACTTTTTTTCTTCCTCTTCCTTGTTTAGTCTTCATAATTTTCTGAGCTACCTTTGCATTCTTGTTCTTAGGGCCTCTACTTCACTAATAAGCTTTAGTCTTGTTAATTCAAAGTCTTATTAATCTATAACTCTCTGTCTCTGCTCTTCTTCGTCCCCAGCTGAACCACAATTTTCAAGTTCATCTTCGTCTGATTAAGATTATGATGACAACTGCCTTCTTGCTTGTTCATCGTTCATTAAGGATTCCCTGATTTTTTCCACAATTTGGTTTCTTGTATCAAGATCCTACTGAATTATCTATTCATCAAATACATTCATATCTTTCATAGTCAAAAGCCATTTGTGAGTTTTTACATCTTAGAGCTAGAGTCTGATTTTAGGGTCTCTCTCAGACATTTTCTCAAAGAGGTCTTTAAACTCATCTTCAATCTCAAGAGAGTTAAAGATCTTCCAAAATGCCTTTTTATCCTGAGAACTTAATCTTCTGAAGTAGGGATCTTTTAGATGAGCAGATCTGAAAGGTGGGCATTTAGTCATCATCAAAAATAAAGTTACTCCTGCTGAAAATACATCTGCCTTCGCTGCATTATATGTCCAATTACTCTCATTGTTATCAAATAATTCAGGTGCATTATATTCTTGTGATCCCACTGTCATAGGCTTCTCAATATCAAAATCCTACTTTCTTGACTAGTCCTAGATGTCTATTGCGAATCCGAAATCTCCAATCACCAATTTCCCTTTTGGATCTATAAGTAAGTTCTCTGGCTTTATGTCTCTGTGAACAACACCCATGGAATGTAGATATTCAAGGCCTAAACAAATTAAATTTCTATCTTTTTACCTTCAATAAGTTGTTTGAACAGGTATTTCGAGAGTAGAGTGCTGAATTTTTCGGTGGATTCAAGGAATTAGAATAACTCACCATATCTAACGAGCTTTAGTACGCAATAACATATCTTATTCTTCCTCTTTATAATAATGTTATCCTCTTAATCAATCTCTTTTTTACTATTTTACTGCCTTATTTAGTTTCCTTGGTTTAAATCTGAATCTGATGCATGAGTTTGTGAATTCGAAGAATGAATCTCTTCTTTAATTAGTGTCCCATCTAGTGAAGCATCGATAATTCTGACTATGTTAGGATGAGAGCACTGAGTCAGTATTTTAATTTCCTAGAAGAAGCTTTCCAACATTGAAGTGCGGGAGAGTGCTGTCTAATTAGTTTTAAGAATTTTGACTGCAACAAATTTGTTTGTTGAGACATCCAATGCTTTTTTCACTCTAATTTGACAAAAAGTTAGCAATTTGATTAAATGGAAATAACTTACTTGGCGAATCTCCCATTTCCAATAGTATTAAGTAACTGATACTGCCCATCAAGTATCTTACTCTTTTTGACATCTTAGACTTACTTTGTCTCCGTAGTATTGATAACCTCTTGCTCAGCTGACAAAGAGTTATGCTGCACTTCAGCTGATTTCTCTTTTTAATTGCTCGAAAACATTTTCTTAAATTTATATATTCCACTTTTTCAATTATCTACATCCAATGGGGTTTTGGGGTTTTGGGGAATAATCCCAGGAATCTCAACTACG